CTTTGTAATAATGACTTATCATCTGTTATTCTAAGATATTTCTTGTTTTTTTACTGGTCGTGAATTGTTATTTTTTTTAATGAAATTATTTTTTGAAGCTTAAGTTTTTTTCGTAAGGATTCCAATTATGCAGAGATTTATATATATATTATTATATGCGATATTTATTTTTATTTGCTTTAGCAACTATCTCAATAATTTATCGAAAAAAAATAATGTTTGTGTTGTAAGTTATTTATTTTTCAATTTATTCGAATATGTAAACAGTTTTTTTCAAACATTGATTTATTGCATTTTGATGCTTTATAAAATAAGTTTGGATAAATTAAATCATTTTTCGACATGAAATATTTTTACAAACAAAAAAGAAATCCGTTTTATAACAAATATTAATTGCAGTATTTCAAACGAAAAAATAAATAAATAAATAACAATCTCTTATCATGCTTTAAGTCTGCAGGAAGAAACTCCTAATTAACCTGAACGAAAATCATTTACAATTGTGTTTTGTTCAGGTTCTATCTGTAATTTGGATTCTAGTCCCTTTACGTTGCAACACAGAAAAGAAGTTAATCCCACAGGGTGTAGTAAAAATGACTTTAAGACCATTCTTCTTCTAGCTGCATTAAAGCAATTCGAAATCTATAGGAGTTCCATTATTTTTCAAAACATCAGAAATGAACTAACCAGATTTAGATACTACTACAGTTTTTTCCAAAATAAATGTTTAATGCATTATATTAAATTTGAATTTTGATATTGCGAATTGAATACAAATTGCCATTCTCTATACAGATTTGAGAAGTTTCAGAATACGAAAACTTGAATATAAAATATATATTTTTTAATATGTATTCTGAAGCTGTATACATACTAAAAATATATGAGCTTAGGGCTATATACGTATATACACATATAGGTTTTATACCTTCTTAAAGTATTAATTACATATATAATTTATCTTCATAAAATTTGTATACATGAAAAAGCTATTATATATATAATATCTTTAAATAAAAACTGCTAAGTAATAATTTTATGAAGATAATTTAAAATATAAGCTAATTGAAATTAATTATTGAATTTTAAAAACATTTCGATAAATAGACGCTTAAAATTTTATTTTTTATTTATGAGAAAATAATTTGGATGCAACCTAAAGTGTAAATTTAGATATAAAGTTTCACACAATTAGCATTAATTGTAATGCTAAATGAACAAAAATTCATTTAAAATAACTTAAAATGTTAAGAATATTTTGAAATTATTTAAAAAAAATTGGATTTAGAAGATTTTGAATGATGCATTAAATTCATTAGATTGTTAAACGATTGGAATTTCAAGATGCTAATTTTCATTTTCTACGTTTTGTATTGCTTACTGATGAGAATCGAGATTATTTTAATTTTATTAGCAGATTTTCGAGTTGTGTTGTATAGAATAGCAGATTTAAAATATTTCAAAATTAATTAAATCGTGTATGGAAAATATCAAAGTGTACTACATCAATCAAAATCTCGTGATAGATTATTTTCAAGAAAACAATAGTTTAAATAAGTTAAATAAATTTATTGCAATTTTAATTTTACTTAAATATTCAACATACCGTCAAAACATACAAATATTCAATATTATACCGTCGTGTTTATTTCTTGTCATTTACTTTTTTATTTTTGTCATTAGTAAATTCTAAATCCGTATATTATAGTTATAAATTATTAGTTCTTCATACATACGTATAGACTGTTGTTTTTCTGATTTAATTGATGGGTTGATTGATCGATAGCATTTTCCAATTAGTTCTTCTCAAAAGTTTCTTTTATCCGATAAGTTAAAACGTTATTTCCTTTGCCAAACTATCATATCACCGACATTAAAAATAATAATAATAATAATAATTTTCTGTTAATAATAATCTTTATTTTGAAACAAATTTTTTAATAAAATTCGAAAGTTAGAAATAATTTCGAAAAAATTCTTGCTAAAGTATGAAAACACTTCAAGACGTTTAATATTTAATTAACTATAAAATGTAAGGATTATAACATGTTTTATATGCTTAAAGTATGACAACATACTAAAAGTTATATTTAAAATAAATTATTCAATTATTTATTTTAAATAAAACTTATTTTATATTATTTTTAATAATTTAGGCCTATAAGTATTACTCAAATAATATTATTATTATAAAAGTTTAGAAATAGTTATGAAGATTATATAATTAATAATAATGTCCGAACTACAAGTTACGAGTAATGAAAATGAATGTTGTTTAAATTATTTAGTTTAAAAAGTTTAATTCAGAATAACCTTATCTTAATAATTTAAATTATATTTTTAAAATTATAGATTATTAAAAATTTTAATATTAAATATTATTTTTAGAATGTCAAGAAGAGCAAAAAAGGATAATTAAAATTGGAAATAGTTTATAATATCGAATTTATTTTTTAAAATAGCTTTATATAAATTGCAAATTCATATGATNACATTACATAATTTTTAAAATATAATAATTACTTCATACATAGATATAACTCATAAAAAGTGTTCAAAAATTAATATTACGTTCATAGTTTAGTGGCAGCATGAAATGATTAAATGCTAAAATTCCTTAAAATTTAAGCATACATCAGTGTATTAATTTAATAATAATAATCTGTAGAATTGGTATTCCACTTAGAATGGAATTATGATGTGAACTGTAGATTGGCGTAAAGGAAATCCGATCAAATTAATTTAGTAATTGTCATCGAAACAAAAGATTAATTTTTAATTACTTAGCGAATTTATAAATTCAGCCATGATGATCTATTGTTCTCGAGTTGCCGAATAAATAAAGATAAGCGTTTTCTAACGGTCAAGAGATATTTAATCTATTGTAGATGATATTAATTTGTTATTCAAATTTAAGATACTTGCAGACTGTTTAAATTTATTTAACAGATTAGGAGCGAATTATTTCAAGGTTAAAATAATTTATTTATGAATAAATTTTGATTAATCATTAACGTAATTAATTGCTATTATTATTTTAAATGATCAAATAAAATCATATTAACTTAGTGTATTCTTAAAAGACAGGTAATTAATGATTATATGACCATTGTAAAATTGTTTTTATTCTATTTCAAATTTTTATTTTCTAGATTATATTTTATTAAAGAAAAGTTGTGCCTTTTATTATTTTTATTAATAATCTTTGTGCTGAAGAGTGCTTCTATTGCTGTCTAGCGGGCGAAACCTCTCAGTTCAAATCGATACTCCAATGCACTGGAGTATAGTTTATAACATTGGCCGTTGGAGGTAAATAGCGTATTGACGCGAGAACGTTTTATGTACCGCATTATAAATGTCGTTAATCTGGTAAACGAGTTGAAGCATCAAATTTTTCCTACTCCTAAAATTATTTTATCAGATTTTAAAGGATATAACTGATTTTAAAACGCGAAATCATATTAAAATAATATTACACGTATGTAATATTTATATATAAAATAGTTTTATCATTTAATAATATAGAATTTAACAAAATTTCATTGTGGTCAAAGCAGGAGTGTTAAGCTAACTTTATTGTGTTAACCATCTGTCACGAGATAAAGCCGACATCAGGGAAAAAACGATTCGCTTTATTAGAAAATATTTTTTATTATTGTTTTTCTTTCTTTTAATAGCATTCATATTTTATTTTTGTTTTCATTATACATTTTGAAAAAATGAATTACACTTTGAAGATTCTGATTTTCAAAAACATGTAAGTTTTATATCACATTTATTTCTTATTTTTGAGAAAAGCTCTGTTTTGAAATAAGGGTGTGGCATAAGTCTCTGTAGTTGTACAATGTAATGAGATTATGCCTATTGAATTAATCGATAGTTTTTATTGATTTTTTTCAAAGGTTGCGATATAATTTTCATCAAATTCTATTAAAATTATTAAGTGATTGATAACAAGATTACATTATAAATTCTACATCTTTATAAGTAATTACTGTCATAAATTTTAAGCAATAACGTTGTATGAGAATAGAATTTTAAAATCCCTTTAAATTGAAAGTATAAATATTTTATTTTTGGATTTTATTTTATTCGCTGATATATATTTGTTGTCATTATTTTATAGTTACTGTCACTACGTAACTAACGATATCATTCATATTTTGTATTGTTTTTTCCGGATATTGTATACAGTTTTTTTTACTATCTTTCTTTATCAATATTAATTTTTGTTATCTAATTTATAATTCACAGAATTGATCGATCTCTGAATCTGAATAAAAAAATAAGTTCAGTTACTTCGTTTGTAAAAAGTATTTGATTTATGAATCTATTTTATTTCATTAAAGCAGTTTCATTTGTAGATGTGAAAGAGCTCAAATTAGACATTCGTGCAACGAGCAATTCATCTTTCCTCCTTATAGACTACTGATTTGGAGTATCTTCTGGAATTACTTGTGTAATTCTTTTATGTGTCTGAACAATTTCACACTACATATTATACGTTTGATTTACAAAATGAAATTTATATATATTATTTTGCTGCAGAATAGAAAATTGGCACCACGCCCAGTGTTGAAGTACAAAGACTTGATATTCTTTGTTTTTTATTCATTTTCTATCATCTTTAAAAAATTATATAAATGAATTTAATATTAAATTTTAAATCTACACAGTTTTTTAAGCTATATAAATAATTTAAAAAGTAGTATGCATTGCAGCAAAGATAAATAGATGTTTGAAACTTTAGTTAAGTGTTTTTCCAAAGAAGTTTTATGGAAATTTAATTATTCTATTAAATATGGCGTATAATCCGAATTAGTGACATAATTCTCAATGTAACATAATGAGTTTAGTCATTTAAAAGAGCGAGATGATGATCAATATTTAATTTATAAATGAATTCTTGGGCAAATGAAGTGAGTAGGACGGAGTTAATAAAGGAGTAATTAAAGAGCGTGCTACCACAATTAGTTTTTGAAATCGTTATGAGAATAATTCTTTATTTGAAGAACCGCGATAGCATTAGATTAATTGCTAATTGGCCATCTTGCGTATATAAGATAAGGTGAGAAAATAAACAATTTTTGACTAAGTCTTTCTCGGTGTAGTTGCACGTTACCATGGATACGACTATTGCTGCCGCAGTGAAGTAAGCGCCCTCTACACTCAGATGGCACGAGGCTTAACACATTGATACTATCAAGAGCGATTTAAGGTGGAAGTCATGTTTCGAGCCATCGTCCACTTTCGCGACCAAGGATCGTCTTCCAGACACAATTCGCCTTCCCTTTCCTCTAACGCTAGTAGTAGCTCGTCGTCATCTACTGACACGTCCTGTTCTCCCGCTCGTCATTCTCGACGTAAAAAGTCTTTGCTTTACCAGGTTTTAATGTCACCTTTGCGCAAGAAGACAGCCTCACGTGCCCAGTCGCCTCCCCGAATTACACCAGCGATTATGGACGCGGTAGGTACTGTACATGAACGTTCTTTTAATCGGGTAACGAGGAAAAGCCGAATCTTCTTCCACAAACTTTTCGCATTTTTTTCCTCCTTCTTCCGGTCGGCGGCACAAGTTTTTCAATAAGTTTAAATTACAAAAAAGTTTCCAACTTTTATTTTGCACACGTTTGATATCAATGAAAAAGTAATTTATCATTTAATAAAGTTTTCATTTTTAAAAACTTTTGCAAATACTTGATAAATACAGTATTTTGACTGAAATGAAATTTTTAACAATATGAATAACTTGTAGATATACGTAAAGTAACTCAACAACAACTTGAACCTATGCGACCGTTATTTTTTATGGTTTAAAGGAGCTTCGTAACAATGATAAAATTATGTTTGTTCTCGTTTTCTTTCTTAAGAAGACGGGAAAACTTTAAAATTTCAAATGGAACCCTAGAGAAAAGTGTACGTTTTGGATTCTACGGTAAAAGACAAGACACTCATTTCGTGGGTAGGCTATACAGTAGAACCATGGGCATCTAACTGTGAAATCGTAATTTTCAGAAACGAGACTTGAAAAAATGGACCGACCGAAAATAGCAAAGTTTTGGTGGGCAATTGCCTACTAAAAATTTGCTATTTTATGTAATCACTTGGAATTTTATATATCTGCTTACGATCCGAAATAGAATGGTACTACTGTGTTTAATAGGAATACTCTATTATTGATAAACTGAAAAATTTAATTAGTCGCTTATGATTCTATACCCACGATTTAAGACATATTAATTAATAACATGCTTCTATTAAAAGTTACGAATAGTTGAAGATTTGAGTTGATTCAAATTGTTGAGTCTTCCCCTCCTATATAAGAAGTCTCATAAAATCGGAAGAGAAATGTGTGGTTTTAGCGAGAAACTGCTTCACCACATTTTCTCATGAGATACGCGTACTTTTTTAAACCAGGAATTCGGTAACACATTGATGGGTCGTGGAGGACTCGTTCGATCCGATCTCGCACTTCTCGAGTACTTTCTTTGGGAATATGTCAAGGAAAAAGTGTGATGTTCCTACCACCTACTGCTAGAGATCACTTGAAGCTGAATACGCAAAGTCTTTACTACATTAGCCATCCAAATATTGTGCATAGTTGGAGGATTGTAAAAATAATAAATGTTTAGGAAAAATGAAAGAACGTCAACGTCGACAATTTGAACATTTAATAAACTAAACAGATGAGAATGCAATAATTATGCTATATTTTAGTTAAATCTGGTATGTAACTTTTAATAGACGCATGTTATAAAAATACTTTAAATGAAAGCTTCTTGTCTTTTCCATGGAATCCAAAGACTTACACTTCTCTGATGTGTTCCGTATCAAATTTTAACGTTGTCCCTCCTATCTCCCTATGAAAGAAGGATAGAAGCGACATAATTTTTATCATTATTTATTCCTTTAAAATCATTAAAAAAAATTAAAAAAGACGGTTCGCATCGGTAATCTCGAGTGGTTTTTATGTGGAAAACTTTGCATATACTATACAGTACTTGTAAAAGCCGAATTTCAAATAATCTGGAATATATTTTATAATAATTTGATTATTAATTATAGAATTTAAAGCTAATAAAATTTCTCTATACTTATTTTATCTAGTTTAAAACAAAATTTTACAAATCACATGTAATTTTTAAATACAGTATCTCCAATTCCACAAAACTGTAGTGTATACTACGTAAGTTTAGCTGAATCTTATAAAAAAAATGCATCATGATTTTTTAAGATATTAATTTTCTTTAGCGTTTATAAAATTTACTAGGTAATTTTATCTCAATTTCAAAATTATTCATTCTATTTTGCATAATTTCCTCTTGAAATGCAAATGAATTCAATTTTTTTTTTTTTTTTATAATATAAATTCATCTATTTTTAAAAATNAATTTGTCTTTAAAGATGCTTAAGTCAAATTAAATAACAAAAATTTATTATATATAATATAATATTATATAATATACAATATTACATCGCATTTGTAGGCATTTTTATGCATGAAATACAGCTAAAAAGGTAAAAAAGACTTTATTTTCGGGGTCGGGAACGGATTAGTTAGAAAGTTATTTGCAGTTGAAGTGAAGTAAAATGTGCTTGGGTCAATTTCGATTCAAATAGTACGCAAGTAATATATGTCATTAAAATATTATATATATATATATATATGTGTGTGTTTTTAAAAAAATTTAAATCAAGATATATAAAGATTATTGCTATAAACAAAAGGTCATGATGTGTGATTTATACAGAATAATTTATAATAAAATAAATAAAAATTTCAAATTTATTTCGGTCAAAATGGACGCAAACAGCCTACAATGGTTAAACCGTTATAATTACCTTATTAATATATTACATAAATGAAGTCTATACGCAAAATAAGAAAAATTATTTAACATAAACTTCCACAAATGAAAATTGTACAATCCACGCGGAATTTTCATTACGGAAATGAAAACGATTAAAATCGTAGTTGTAATTACAAATTAATATGAATAATGAATTAAAAACAAACTTAAAAATCAAAAATGTAAAAACTGAAATTTGTTTAACGTGTTTTTTCATTGTCTTTCTAATTCTCGTGGGAAATTGTGAAAGAAGATATGAAATTCCTATAAAGAAAAATTTGTGAGGAATATTACTTATTAGATTTGCCGTAGTGTTTTGTTACTCTGCTAATAAGACGCTAATTGAATCTCAATTGAAAATTTAAATTTAAACTTTATTTAACAAATTAAACTTATTGAGCAGAGCCTATTTTTTACACGATATTTTATTGTTCAAGAGTTATTGAAAATCTCGCTTATAAAAATTGCGTGTGCATCTAACACTACAGCGATATCGATTTTTTACGTTACTTGTTTTATTTTTTTAATATACATTTCATTTTTATGTGTTTAACTCGAAATATGTTTTAATTTTTTAAAATCATTTATTTGAGGATATTGAAATGACTACACATTAAACTTAAAGTGCAAATATTTCAGATCATTTTGAAAAATCCGTTCATCGTACGTTGCGCAGGAACAGGACTTTGCACGATTCGATTTTATTACAACTGTAAATGTAGAGAAAGCTTCACAATAACGTTCTATGTTGACAAAGCTGACCATTTTCAAAATTCGATAAGTACAGTTGTAGTGATCGAAGAAGAATATGGGTATCATTTTGTTAATACTCGTCGTAGAACACGACTTCTTTGATAATGGAGAATGCCTTTGATATCTTTCTTATTACTTTTATGCGAGATAACTAAAATTCAATTAAAGAAATATTTATTCTTATAATTTTATTAAGAAAATTTTTGTCATTTTGTGATTAATATTATTTCAATAAATACTAAAAGATGTCTAACCGACTGGTTTTTGTATATTATGCTAATACTTATAAATAAATAATTCGTTTTGATTTTATTATAATTCTAAAAATTTTGATAAAAATGACTAAAGTTAATCTTGAAATAATACAATCTCGAAATTGCAAAAACTCTCCACTTTTGACAGATTGTATTCGTTATCTATGTAACAAAAGGGGACGGTTTTTTCCAATTTAAATCCATTTACTCGTCTATAATATCTTTGTAATAATGACTTATCATCTGTTATTCTAAGATATTTCTTGTTTTTTTACTGGTCGTGAATTGTTATTTTTTTTAATGAAATTATTTTTTGAAGCTTAAGTTTTTTTCGTAAGGATTCCAATTATGCAGAGATTTATATATATATTATTATATGCGATATTTATTTTTATTTGCTTTAGCAACTATCTCAATAATTTATCGAAAAAAAATAATGTTTGTGTTGTAAGTTATTTATTTTTCAATTTATTCGAATATGTAAACAGTTTTTTTCAAACATTGATTTATTGCATTTTGATGCTTTATAAAATAAGTTTGGATAAATTAAATCATTTTTCGACATGAAATATTTTTACAAACAAAAAAGAAATCCGTTTTATAACAAATATTAATTGCAGTATTTCAAACGAAAAAATAAATAAATAAATAACAATCTCTTATCATGCTTTAAGTCTGCAGGAAGAAACTCCTAATTAACCTGAACGAAAATCATTTACAATTGTGTTTTGTTCAGGTTCTATCTGTAATTTGGATTCTAGTCCCTTTACGTTGCAACACAGAAAAGAAGTTAATCCCACAGGGTGTAGTAAAAATGACTTTAAGACCATTCTTCTTCTAGCTGCATTAAAGCAATTCGAAATCTATAGGAGTTCCATTATTTTTCAAAACATCAGAAATGAACTAACCAGATTTAGATACTACTACAGTTTTTTCCAAAATAAATGTTTAATGCATTATATTAAATTTGAATTTTGATATTGCGAATTGAATACAAATTGCCATTCTCTATACAGATTTGAGAAGTTTCAGAATACGAAAACTTGAATATAAAATATATATTTTTTAATATGTATTCTGAAGCTGTATACATACTAAAAATATATGANATATTCTAATTTAATCAACCGATACATTATTATCTTACAAAGATATCTCAATTCATTCAAAGTTTCTTGCATGAAAATTTTCTCATAAGATTAAATATATAAGTAAAATCCATATTAATTATATAAACTTTGTTGGAAAGTATTTGGCAGAATCTAAAAAGGTGGCGGTAATATTGATTTCTGATATTTCGATTCACATCTGTCTTTTAGTTTGGTGAAGATAACAAATTCATCTCAACAAATTAAATAAAATGTCAGGAGTAAGGTTAGATTTTTACTTTCTGTCTTCATAATTTGATTGAAGTTATCTTTGATTTTATTCTAGGGTGGAAAATAACACCACATCTATCGAATGCCATTAAAAATAAAATGAAAAACTATCAGTTTTGGTTTGAAGGATATCTATTAATTGATTACCTAACATTTATTAAATGTGATCGTTGTTATGTATTTACCGCTTTTAGATTATCGTTGTCATATATTCAAATTTATGTTTATTGC